GTGCTAATTTTTATGTCTCATCTGAAAAACTGGATGCCTCTTCCCAGCTGTGCCTAACTCTGCAGACTGGAGGTGKTTTTTTGATCCCAGCTCCAGTTTTTGCCAGTGACGGTGTCCAAGCGTGTTGGCCCATGGGCAGTGCTGGGAAGGCAGTGTGTCCCATGTCCCACGTCCCGCTGATCCATGCGATTGCAGCCATGTCCTGCTGGAACGTTTTATCTGAATGCGCTTCGGAGAACTTTTTATGGTAAATGTTGTTAAACTGCAATCAAGGGTATAATAAAACAGTGATTTAAGAATAATATACTGACAACTGGAAAAAATGCACTTGACGTACCGCGGCGGAGTGATAATAGCGAGCCTGGTATTCAAACAAGCTCTGTGTCACTCTGCAAGTCCTTGGGCAGTTTTTAAAGGCTTGCAGGCTCCAGTAGTGTCCTTGTTGCCCATTACAAGCTGTTGTCTCGTTCATAAATTGCACGTTGTTCATCTCGACCTCCTCGCCAAAGCCCCGGTTGACACATTTGTCTGCTTGGCTTGTGCAATCTGATAAGTCGTTTATGATGACGGGAGGATAACCTAATTTGTGCTGCAGAGCTCTCTGTTCTGCGTTCAAAATGAAAGGCTTTATCTCCATGAGGGCTTTTTCTTTTTCCCTTTTTAACCACTTGAGAGATATCTTGTATTTCCATTGCTCCTCCGAGACGTCTAATGAGACAAGCCCATTGCGTGTGCGCTCGCCTGGCCCTCTGCACCAGGTCAGTGATTCCAAGGTGGAAGCCCAAGGTCTGTTTGCAATAATCAAAAATAAACCCAAACTTTGCCAGAATTTGCTTCCAAGTTTCCTCCATGGCCGTGGCGTGGCCCTCCGTGCCCTGGGTTTGGGACGCTCCTGCAGTGCTCTGCCCGATGCATCCGTAACAACGGACCCCGTAACCACAGGACGTGAAGGTTAATAGCGGTTTACACGGTTCCAAAAAGTGGTTAAAACAATTTCGTGAAAGGGAAATGCAGTGAGTGCCTAGCAGGCTGGAAAACATCACCTCTGGCTCAAGCCAGAAATCACGGCTTCCAAGCAGGGCGGTCGTGGRAGGTCCCGCACTTCTCTGGGCCTCTCATTTTACCCTCTCTGAAGCATCCCTGGGATCCGACRGAGAAGGGATAGGGACAAGGGAGCCCTCGGGCTGGAGGGCTGCCCGTGTTGGATCTATGCAGGCTTGGAATGAGGGCCGGGCTGTGCTTGGGATGGGCCTGCTGGGCACGGACGCCGTAGCGGACACCGGGGCCGGGCCGTAAGATTTCAAACAGGACCAAGACTGATTTTTGGGGAGCTTCAGCAAAGCGAGGCAGGGCACTAACCTGGGGCTTTGCCTAGGCCCGGAATCAAAGGCCTGCTGCAAATGGTGGTAGCCAGAAACTGGAACATGTTTCTGAATGTGTTGGACCATCGGGATCTCAGGGCAGGAATCCTGGCAATAAGTGGTGAGACATCCTAGATATCCAGATATCCGTGAGCACTTGGTAGCCCGTAGGGAATCAAACAGAGCTCCTGTGTTAGGAGGGAGGGCAAGGAGAGGTTTCCATGGGCTTTCCCCTTCCTCCTGCCTTCTCCAGATCCCTCTTTGGCTGGCGGAGCGGATGAGGCCTGGCCCTGGGGCCGCTCTCAGAGAGGCCCCGACGTCTTTCAGGTCTCGTTATTGGCCATTTCTGTTTAATTACACGTCGTGTTGCTGGCTGGGAAGCGGAAAGACTCCTGCTGGGGCCTGGGTCCTGTCCCGTCCCACTCCTGTCACAGCTGCCTCCACCCTGTGCTGAGTTTGCACCAGCCTCTGCATTTCGCCTTAGTATTAAGGCCGTTCTCTCGCCTTCTCCGCCAGTGCAGCGCTTAATTATTCTCTGCAAAGTGACAGAGCTTCTCCGGGGTGTTTTGAGAGCTCTTCCATCCGCAATACCCCGTGCTGCGTAGGTGGGCTTAATTTCCTCAACACTGCTGTATTTTTTTACGGATTCGTTGCAGTCGAGTGTTGCTTTTCCGAATCCCGTTTTCCAGCACCTAAGCACCCTCACGCCTCAGCTGGGGACCCTCGCAAGGAGACGGGGATTTGGGAGGGCCGAGCGCGTTGGCGTTAGGTCCCTCATTGGGGCTTCTCTCCAGAGCTGCCCCCGAGCCCAACCACCCAGGCTCCTGGTGCTCCCTGCCTGCACACGGGAACCCATCCAGCTTCCAGAAACCACAGCTCCATAGCAGAGGACACCGAGTGAGGCCGCGTGGTTCCTCAGCACAAGGGCACGCTGATAGTCGGGTTAGGAGGCACAGGGCAGAGCGCTGGGTCTGCAGGGAAGCAAATCCTGCTGCAGAAAGTTCCAGTGGGAGTCGGTGGGAGTTTCCGGGAAGCCATCTAGCAGTTTGGGATTCGCATGGGAAGCGGGAAGCCGGGGCTGCGGGAGCGCCTGCTCCTCGCCGGCCCGCGCTGGCGTCGCTGCTCGGCGAGCGACGTAAGGAGCTTGGCCCCGGGCGCGATGGTGCAACGGCAGAACGCGACACCGTGCCCTTCTTCTAGGTCACGGAGTGATTATATATGGAGCAGGGTGAGGTTATCTAACGCCCTGCAGCTTGTCTCTTCCAAAGAAGGAACGTGAGGGACGTTCTTACGTGGCCCGGTGGCGCGGGTCTCCAGCTGCTGCGTGTGGCATCCGCTGCCCTCTCTCAGAAAGCTGCAGCAGCGCAAGGACAGTCCCGCATTTGGAGCAGCTTCCGCGCCGGATGCAGCAGAGAGGCAGCCGACAGAGTCTGTGGAAGAGAGGGAGAATGGAGGTGGGATGTCAGCCCGGCCACAGGGCATCTCCACCTCACCGTCTAAACCAGCRAGGTGTCTAGGGAGTGTCCCAGTTGTCCTGATGTGCTCTCCTGCACACCAGGCTCCCTGCCCGTAGGAAGGGGTTCATATCCTCCCTCCTCCTTCTCCCTTGCTGCAGTTTCAATCCGCTGCGTCTTGATCTGTCTCCGCAGGCACGGAGAGCATCCCAGGAGGTGTCTCTGTGCATCCTCCTCCTGGCTCTCGGCCAGGGGCTGCGTGTTGCCCTGCTCTCCCGGTCTGCTTTTTGCACAGTTGTATTTCTGTGCTTGCCCCCAGTGTGGCRGCAGACGTGCCAGGCGCCGCCGCCCTCGGGCTCACCTGCACTGCAAGCAGATGGGCCTCGTCCCGCGCCTGGCAGGTGACAGTCTGCCCAATGCAGGTGACAGTCTGCCCGGCGCAGGTGACAGGCTGCCCGGTGCCTTTGCCGCGCGCGGCTCGCGATGCTCTGCAACGTTTTCAATGATGTTCGCTCCATGCCGCTTCGCCAGCCCAGGCACTTCCAGCAGCTCTGCTGCGTTCCCCATCCTCTTCCCCATCTCGTCCTGCATAACTTTCCATTCCCACCTGCATGGATCAGTTTGCATCCATACTTAATGCAGCTGGGTTTTCTTCTGAATTTGCTTCTGGACCCAGGAGTTTTTTGGCTTCCACGGCAGGTTTCTGGAGCATTTTCAGTGTTTCCTGGTGTGATATCTGCACATTGCACACATCATCCATGTGACTAATCGTAGAATCATAGAACCCTTAACGTTGGAAGGGACCTCTAGAGGTGATCTAGTCCAACCCTCCCTGCACACGCAGGGTCACCCAGAGCACGGGGCACAGGCTGCATCCAGGTGGGTTGATCTCCAGAGCAGGAGCCTCCACAGCCTCTCTGGGCCGCCTGGGCCAGGGCTCTGGCACCTGCACTGCCAAGAAATTTTTCCTTAATTTTCTGTGGAACTTTTGGTGTTTCAGTTTGTGGCCGTTTCCTCTAGTCCTATCGCTGGCCACCACTGCAAAGAGGACACTCCATCCTCCTCACTGCCTCCCTTGAGGTATCTATAGACACTGCTCAGGTCTCCCCTCAGCCTTCTCTTCTCCAGGCTGAACAGGCCCAGCTCCCTCAGCCTTTGCTCACAGGGCAGATCTTCCAGGCCCCTGATCATCCTCGTCCACCCATGAGCTGTAACGTGCACCCAAATAACAGAAGTTTGTTCTGAGCGTGTTTCTCTCATTGCCTTGCGAGGAAGCCGGGCGAGATAGCTCGGATGCATATCAAGATCCACRGCCCTCACTGCTGCTGCTGCAGCTATTCGCCAGGCCAGTTACCCTGTCATCGAGGGAAATTAGATTGGCCTTGACAAATCTGCGACGGGACTCGCTCATCATCTTGTTATCGTCTAAGTGCTCAAAAATAGGTTGCTTCATTATTTGTTCCATCACTTTTCCAGGAGTTCAAGTTAAGCGACCGGTTCATAATTCCCCGGCTTCTCCCTCCGCCTGTTTTTTACAGCCGGATGCAGCGTGCACTTTTCCTCTGCAAACCTCTCCTACCTGCCTCTGGTTAACACAGAAGTAGCTCAGGAATTGCTTCAGCTGAGCCTCTCTCGGATACCTTTGGAGCAGCGTATCCCACCAGGCCGGGGAATGGACCATTGTCCCATCCCAGCGTCCTTGCATCCTCTATGGCTCTGGCTTTTCCTGTCTCACTTGAATCCTGACCTTTCTGTTCACTAACCAGCACATTCAGAAGATTATTGAGGAGAAGATTTTGAATAGTATTGTCTATAACCTGCAGTGCTGCTGAAAGTGTGGGCCTGATCACAGTTTCCATCAGCGCAGGTTCATTTTAGCAGCCCCATGGCTGGTGAGGTGGGTAGAATTCCACCCTTGGAGTGATTTTCAGGAATGTCCAGTAACTTTCAGTGCCAAATTTGGCATCCGTTGCCATGCCCTCAGTTTTCAGGCAGTGGCGATCCCAGTGTTTCGTGACGGAGATGGGAATGGAGACATCCATACCGTGGCATCACGCATGCAGGAATCCCTTTGCCACGTTGTATTTACCTTGCCAATGTCTATTTATTTATTTATTGCATCTGTTTGCTGATTTCTCAATTCCTTTTCTATTTTCTTTTTTCTTCCCCACCCTCCCTCCAACAGGAATCATTAACCAATGGCAACAAGAATCCAAGGATAAAGTGATTTCCCTCCTGCTAACCCACCTGCCGTTACTGAAGCCGGGCAACATCGAGGCGAAAGTCGAATACATGAAACTCTTGCCCAAAATCCTGGCCCACTCGATCGAGCACAACCAGCACATCGAGGAGAGCCGGCAGCTGCTGTCCTACGCGCTCATCCACCCCGCCACCTCGCTGGAAGACAGAAGCGCCCTCGCCATGTGGCTCAACCATTTAGAGGACCGCACGTCGGGCGGCTTCGGCAGCCAAAGCAGRGGCCGGTCCGATTCCGTGGATTACGGGCAGACGCACTACTATCACCAAAGACAGAACTCCGATGATAAACTCAACGGATGGCAAAACTCGCGAGACTCGGGCATAAGTGTCAGCGCGTCCAGCTGGCAGGACAAAAACCTGGCGTGTGAGAACGGCCATCTGCCCCTCTACTCCTCCTCCTCTGTCCCCACAACTATCAATACGATTGGAACTAGCACAAGCACGAGTAAGTACCAGCACAAAAGCACTGGGGAGGGCCGTGCATGTTCCACAGCATAGACCACCCCCTGCTAGAAAGTCTTTCTTTGATGTATTTAGTGGACGGGCTGGTTTCAGTTGGGCCACAGAAAACTCCTCCTTTCCTACCTGCTTTTTTATTTCTTGCCTATTTTTCCCCTAATCCTGTAGGATTTCAAAAGCCTAGCAGCTGGAGAAGAGAGTAAAACAACCAAGAAGCTGTAAGAACAAAAATGCGTGTGGTTAGAGGCAGCCCCTTTCTTTTCGTAGATCTAAATCTAGATTTGGAGGCCACTATTCAGAAGTTCCTAAAGCGATGCAGGAGCTGAAGTTTCATTTCCCAAAGTGACTGAGGGCCTCGATGCAGAGCCTCCTTGGAGCCTGGTCTCCGAAGCTCATTTCTAGAACCAGGGACCCATGATCTTCAGAGCCCCTCTGAAAACATTCCCCTACATTTGTGGTGCACAAGGATGCCAAGCTAGTGGCAAACAGGGAGTTTTAGGCAGGCAGCCCTCAGTGCTTCTCATTTCGCTGGTGGAGCTTTTCCCCCACGGAGGCCCTTCCCAAGCTGTCATGGGAATGACACACGTTGCAGCCGGAGCCCAAGCACCAGGCAGCTGGAGACGCTGCAGGGCAGCGTGGCCGGAGATTTAGCACTAGTTTTGCGTGGAGATTTAGTGCCGCTCTCGTTCTTTTAAAGCCGCCGTTCATGCCTGCTGGCCGTCTCCGGGAGAGAACAAACACGGTGTTTTCTCCAAAGGTCTTGGAACCTCTTCCGTGCACTCGCTCCGAGCGGAGGGATGTTAGGATTGCTGTTGTGTCTTTTCTCCTAATGAAACGCAGCCTGTGCTCGGAGACCTTCCGCAGCTCGTGTTACACGGCGGCGGCGGTGCATCATTCCAGACAGGGCATGCAGGGCTGTGTGAAGGAAGTCAGCAAGTTCTTCTGAAACTCCCTTTTTATCCCTATTTTGGTGCGGTCTTCTCGCTCTTCCTGCCCTTTCTGCGCGCGGTTCAGCCCTCACGGTTTGTCCTCGTGATGATCATGTTCCTTGTGCTCACGGTCTCCTCCTTTTCTGCCCGAGACCTGAAGCTGGTTCCAGGACTCACCTGTGTCCTGGCTCTGTCACTGTGCTGTATTTTTGCCCATGCTATTGGGGWTGTCCTGGCAGGGGTTTAATAGCAATAGATGGAAGTTCCTCCTCAGGTCTGTTTTGAGGTTGGGCTCCCTCTGCAGCCTGCCCCATCTCGGACAGCCCTGTGCTCTCCTGGTGCTGCTGTCAGCACCTCACCTTGCTCTCCTCCTTCACCTTCACCTCAGGGGGGTTCTCCAGGCCTCCTGGCACCTCCCAAGCTGTGAAGCATGCGGAGCAGCTTCCAGGAGGAGAGGCTTCGCGTGGCAAGGGCCCTGCCACAGGGCAAAGGGTTCCCAAGGCACAAAAAGGAGCCGTGGACGCKGTTGTCCCTGTGTCTCTCCCACAAGTTTCTCTGGGACCCTCCTCGTGGCTTTGGTGGGCCTGGGACTTTGGGGGGTTTTCACACCAGTGAGAAAACCTAATAGGTGGATTCGGAAGGGAATTGGTTCCTCATGTTGTGAACTAAATATGGAGAGATCTGACAGGAGGAGTAAGTTTTGCCTGTGGAGGAAGAGACTTTCAGAGCTTCAGGTGAGGAGCTGAGAGCCTGGAGGCCCCAATATCACTTCCCTGAAGGGCAGCCCCATTCAGGGGCACTTGCTGAGGAGACCTGAGACAYGGTGACAGTTGGGATGCTGGAGATCAACTTCAGTGATGCCAGATGAGGCTTGCAAAAGTAGCTCCTGGTTAAATGGTTATGGCATTCTGTAGCTCGTCATTGGTGGTGAATGAAGTCCTGCTAGAAATATTACATCTTGAAGGGCATTTTTCCAGAATCCCCTCGTGTGTTTGCTTCTTTGAGCCTTTTTAGGCACAGCCTTGTCTGTTTGGAGGAGCAGAGAGCAGCCGTTGCCCGCTGGGCTCCATGTGTTAGCGAAGGGCACACAAACCTGAGAAATGTCTGGTTGGCTCCCAAGGTGCTACGATGCTGGGGTCCTCTGCCTCAATTCTCCCAGAACAAAAACAGCACCTCAGAACTTGGCAGACATCATAGGGTTGGAGAAGCCCCTCAAGGTGCCACCTTTCTCAGTGGGAATTGAGCAGAGGAGGTAGAGGAGGTCCTGGGACCAGGCTGGTGCAGCAGAGACTTCCTCCAGCCCTGCTGGGCACACAGAATCACAGACCCACAGGATGGCTGAGGTTGGAAGGGACCCCCAGGGATCCCCCAGYGCAGCCCCTGCTCCMGCAGGGACACCCRGAGCACGGGGCACCCGGGCGCATCCMGGCGCCTTGGGAAGATCTGCAGAGCAGGAGCCTCCGCAGCCTCCCTGGGCAGCCTGGGCCAGGGCTCGGGCACCCTCACACCAAACAAGTTCTTCCTCACGGCCACACGGAGCTGCCTGGGCTTCACCTTGTCCCCACTGCCCCTTGTCCTGSCACTGGCCACCACCCAGAAGAGTTTGGCCCCTTCCTCCCTCCATCCTCCCCTCAGGTGTTTGTCCATGTTGATCAGATCCCTCTCCCCCTTCTCTTCTCCAGGCTCAACAGGCCCCGCTCGCTCGGTCTCTCCTCACACGAGCTGCCCCAGCCCCTTCCCCATCCCTGTGGCTCTGCGCTGGCCCCTCTCCAGCAGCTCCACATCCCTCTTGTCCCGGGGAGCCCAGAGCTGCCCCCAGTGCTCCAGGTTTGGCCTCCCCAGAGCGGAGCAGAGGGGCAGGATCAGGATCCCCTCCCTGACCTGCTGGCCACGTCCTCCTGATGCAGCCAGGATCCTGTTGGCCTCCTTGGCCACAAGGGCACTGCTGCCTCATGGTCAACTTGTTGTCAGCCATACACCAGCTTTGAGCTGGTGGCCGTGTGAGCACAGCTCCCTCCTCCGAGTCCTCCTGGCACAGGTACCAGGAGTGCCAGGGGGTCCTTTGCTGGATGGTCACGTTCCTCCTTGTCCCTGGTGCCCTGCAGCTGCGGCGAGCAGCGCGTTGCCTCGCGTAACCCCCTGCCCCAAGAGCCCCGTGCAGCGCTTCCTGGCACCTCCCAGTGACTGGGTTTTGTGTCACAGCCTGATTCAGCATCAAGATTTATAGTGCCCATATGCAGGGATCCTTTTCCCTGAACTTAGCACCAAGGTAAACACATATTTCTACAACTGGGGAGGTTTGTAAAAGCATCTGGATGAATCTTCAGGCAAATCTAGTCTTAGATGTGCAGCTGTGGTTTGCGTGAGCAGCCCCGTGGTTCAGCAGGACCCCACTAAAGCACCAGGTTAGCTCCAGCTTCTGTGTATTCCCATGCGTGGTTCGGAGCTCGTGTCCCACATTTTGCACAGGGATCTGCAGGAGGGTTAAGAGCAGTCACCCCCCAGGGACAACCATCCCCTGCACCATGAGTCCTGCTGGAGACTGAGCCTTGCAGCATGTGGAGCTGCTGGGTTTGAAGCCTCCTTTGGGTTGTAGTTCCTCCTAATGTATTTTGATGGCAGCACGTTGCACCTACCTGCAGCCTCCCCATTCTTCACTTGCTAGTTCACAGCTTCTTCAAGGCCATATTTGCTTGGACACAAGAGCAGCGAGTCCACAGACGATGCTAAAGAATAAACGTGGCCAGTCAGCCCATGTCCCAACCCCTCCAGTCAATCAATAGGTCCTTTAAGCTTTAACTTCAAAGCAAATCCCTCAAGCTGTTTCAGTTTGAGTTTTATTACTTTCTCAAATATTTTCTCAAATAAAATTTATTATTTTTAATATTATTAAAATTTATTATTTTTATTTTCTCYTGTTACTTGTGGGGGTTTATCTGCATAGGAGTTAATCCAGCAGCAGCTTCCAGGGCACAGACTTCCCCAGCGCGGCTTGTTTCTGCTGCTGGAACGGGGCAGAGCCTCTCCCAAAGGCGGTGATCTCGCCCCAGGTKCTTTTGTCTTGCACTGTGGCACAATTAGATGCAATGCTGTTATTTTTTAAGGTTTAAATATGGATAGTTGAGGTTCACATGAGAATTTGCTCAGCTCTTTCCTCCTCTGCTTCTCTTTCACTCGACCTAGACCCAGACCGACGCTGAGAGAACAGACCTGGCTTTGTCTGCAGGCTGGTTGGGCTTACAGAGGGCTTGGAAACCTCGTGCAGCTTTATCCTTAATTTCTACTTCTCTTTAATGGTGTTGTTAGCTGATGTTAGCAAAGATTTGAGGAACTGCTACGAGAGGACAAGAAGAGATCCCTGCTCTCCAGCATTTCCAGGGCAAGTCTGCAAGAGCTCTCTGGATTTGCWCCGGTGATCTGCGAATGACCCAGTGTCATAAGCGACTGGTTTGGATCCRGAGGAACCACAAGGATATAGATCCATCAAGAGAGATGAAAACCAACATATTGCCACCCATCCACTGCTTCAGAGCAGCTGCTTCAGAGCAACTTCCTTGCATGCTCTTAGCCTGTCCCGCGCAGCTGGAGCTACAGCTTTAAGCCAGACTTAGGGCGTGCTGGGAGTGAAGGTGGCCTCCTCGCAGGCCCGTGAACGCGAGCGGGCAAGAGGCCAAAACTACCCCGGGCCGAGCGGGAAGGGATCAAGCAGAGAGCCCTCGGCTCTGCCGCTGACTCAGACAGCAATTACAAAATGCCTGCGTTGCAAAACGCATTTGCAGGGTAGATGGACCCTTAAATATCCAAAGTGAAACAACAGAAAAGAAATACCAGGCCGCCTTCTCCGTCACACAGGGGCAGCAGGGCTGGAGAAGTGCTTTTCCAGGGCACAGGGCTTAGCAGAGGAGCTTTCACAAAGACAAAATGCACGGAGCACCTCATTCTGCCTGTCTGCCCGCACAAACACCTCTCCCCTCAACGTTCTTAATGCATCCTTTAATTCTCTGCAGCTGGCAAAGAGAGGAGCCGTCTCCAAAATTCCGTTTAATTTTAATAAGAG